AACAGCTTTTTATGTTATGCTTGGTCAAAAATATTTCAATGTTTTGTCTACCCTCAGGTAGATTACAAAAGTTGAAAAACTAATAGGTTGATTATAAAAGTTAAAAAACTAACATTATCATCATTATTATCATTTTGATGACTATGTAAGGATCTTTCAGTCTAAGTACAGGTATATTCTGACACTGTTGCATAATTTAATTTAAATTATCCAAAGCTTAAAAATAATCTACAAAGAGGGCTATCTCTCTTTTCATTGTTACCTCTAAGCATGATTTAAGAGGCATACCTAAGAATGATTTTAAGAGGCATAACTAAGAATGATTTACTTCTATAGAAAAATGTACTTTTGGTTTGACCTACTATTCACTGTTGTTTAAGACCTAGATTCTTCAAAGTTTAATAGATAACATTTTTCTGTGGTTGCTCTATAGTGATGTAGATGACTTGTGTCCAGTAGAAAAAGACCAATCTATAATAGGTTAGAGTTTTATTGGCTTATGGGACATTTGCCAGATTTGTATCTAATTGACAAAACTTATTTCACTTTTCCTTTCCTTTCCTATGTAAACCTCTCTTCCTGAAGTGCTCTTGGTACTAGCTTTATCATCCTGCTATTGTCCTCACTGATTAAATAAAATCTTTTAATCAAAATACTTTATATGATCCTTGTGTTTTTAAGTCTTTTGAAAATTGTATTCGGAAAGTGCTTTGCTTTGCTGATGAACAGCCTGTGGGGTGTAGGCTGCCTGAGTTTCTCTAAGCTTCACGGTGTGGCTACTCACAATTTGATTTCAGAACCACTTTGGAAAGAGGCCAAAGTCAGCCTGTCCCACTATGTCTGACTTCAGGTTTGTGCTGCCTCTGTACTTTGATACTCCTCTGATCCTGGCACCTGCAATAATTGTCTGTTTTCCTCCACTGTGTGTGTGTGTGTGTGTGTGTGTGTGTGTGTGTGTGTGTGTGTGTTAGAAAAACATACAAAAGTACTCCATCTAGGCAGCTGGACTCAGATACGAGAAAGTCCCATGGGCGAGAAGAAGGGGTAGCCCAAGCTAGGATTTATGATGTGGGGAAGATGAGGCCAGTGGCTGAGGTGAGTCATCTATAAAACATCTGAACCTCTGCTCTGGTTGCCACTAAGAACTGGCTGATGAATATTGTAGATTCCAATGGAATGTACTCAGAACATTTCTTAGTGTCAAGAAAGGACAATGGTATTTTTAAATCTGGTTGTAGTTTGAGTTGATTGTCTATGCCATCCAATAAGAAAGTCACTAGGCCCATGTACCTATATAAATTTGAATTTAAATTATATAAGATTAAAAACTTAAGTCCCTCAGTCCCAGTAGCCACCTTTCAAGTGCTGAACAGCCACACGTGGCTACCAAAACAGCAGCACAAATGTAGACCATTTCTATCATTGTGGAAAGTTCTGTTGGTGAACACTTATCTATGATGGCAGTCTCCTTCTTAATAAAACTCTTTTTAGATTTTGCTTGTTTGTTTTAAGGACACACTTTGATTTTCAGGCTTCCGCAAAAAGGAAGATCTCAGGAGAGCCTAGGTGGGAGAATCTGAGGTGAAAGGGGAGCCGAGCAGCTCAGGATAAGAAAGGACTTGAATTTTGAGGTTTTCTTCTTTAGATTAAGAGAGATAATTTTTTTTTTAACACTTAAGAAAAAAGCATCTGGAAAAGCAGAAAAAAACTCTGAGAGTGATTTAAATAAAATAAAGGAAACAGGAACATGCATCTTGATGGAGGAGTGGGACAAAGAAGAAAAAAGAGAGACACCCTGGCTGGGTTGGCTAATGACATTTATTCAGCATGATCTCCAATTTTTAATCTTAAAGTTGTCCTGGTATGTGATGCAATTCTCCTCTGCTGCCACTAAATCTTCAATAAATGTCTGCTTTATACAACATCCTTCTGTTTCTGGGATTTGATGTGAAAATGGGTTTAGGGAAGGAAAGAAATTGGAGTATGTAACAGTCCTGAAACTGAATGGTAATGAAGCATTTGAGGACATAAGTCATCACCATGAGTGGGTAAGCACCTAGGAATTCTAGGAAATACAGATCTTTAATGTGGTTATTACAGGAAAGTTAGGGAGCTGGTTGAGTTACATATATCTGGATTGCATGTATTTTTAAAAGCACTGCTATTTCTCTCTCATCCACAAGAGATAAATCTCTATTTTAAAGATTTAATGTTAAGCATCAGTTAGGAAACAAAATATATTTTGCATTTAAGTAATGTATAAGTCAAGAAAAGTTAGAGGAAGTACAGATTTAGAAGTGTCATGGCAATACAATCAGATGCTACAACACAGCCTACCACTTACGCCATTTGTAAAAATCTGGCTGCCTCAAAAACAATTCCTCAATAATGCAGAAATAATAAAATGAGGTTTAAATGCATTTGCACTTACTACATTGATTGACTATTTAAAACAGTGGCTATTAAACATTTTTTCCCTACCTAGTGACTGCTTACTTACTTTTATGTTTACCTGCTATTTGAGGTCATGATGATAACATTAGTTATCGTATGGTGCTGACAGTATTTATGCCCCTTCATGAAAGGTCTCTTTGCTATGACACTTCAGGGATGCTTGGGTTTTATTTCTCTAATTCCTATTCCTCCCACTGGCTTTCAGCCATCATCCCTCATGGCTGTTCTTTACCAACCATAGAAATAAACCTTCTGCTTATGTTTTGTTGTCTTGAATATTGTCATGGCTCTGGCTCCAAAAAACTGAGTCTTATAGGAGTGGCAAATAATTTATTTTTACACTGGCTCTCATTCAGCTTGAAATATTCTTTGGCTTTGTGGTTCGGTATGTTATCATGAAGCGACATGTTTACTTTATAAAGTTAAAACAGTTTTGCACAAAATCCTAGTAAAATAGCACTCAAAAGAGTTGAAAGCTTAGCTAGATATTTAATACTTGTTCAAGGGTTCTTTTCTTCTAACTTTACCTAGGTCGCAGAGGAACCCAGAGGAAAAGCAAATGTCTTTAGAAGTACAGGTGATCGGTACTTCCTAATATGAGCTGTGACGACTAATAACCAAAGAAAATCATCACAAGAAATAAAAAAGATTCAAATGATGATGAATCCCTGGTTCATCAAATCACATTTCACTTTTATTTGTCAAGTACTTTTTCCTCCAATAGCTTTTTCTTACATAACAGTAGGAGAGATACTGAACCAATGATTACAAGTAATCTTTTCAAAATTGCCTTCTCTGAATTATTAATCAGAATTGGAATCAACAGTATCTGAAATCCTTTTTGATGCTAGACATCTACAAAGAGTTTGGTGGTTACAGGTATTCTGCTAGTCCCTGGAGAGAAAAAGATAAGTAAAATAGGATCCTTGACTTCAAGAAACTCAGTATAGTTTGAGAGACAGAAACATTAAATACAATGTAAAGGCAGTGTAAAATGTGCAAGGGTAGGTTAGCCGTGGTACAAATAAGTTAGCACCTTTTATTGAAGGGGTCAAGGAAGATACCACAGAAGTGGAGACTTCTCATCTAGGTTCTGAGATGAGAGGAGTTCACTAATCAAGTTGGAACAAATACATTTCAGGAAAAGGGAATAGCATAAACAAACCATGTAGTAGAATAGTTTATGGGAGAAACTGTAAGTGGTTTGCTATAGTTGAAGTGTAGGGTTTATGTTGGAAACTGGAGAGAAACGAAGGTGAGGCAATTAAGCAGGAGCCAAATGACAGAAGGCCTTGTATTTCATTCTCTGGAGTTCCCTTTATGTTACAATGGGAAGTGAGGGAAGCATTTTAAACACAGGAGAAAGAAGATCTGCTTTATATTTTAAAAATATTACTCTATGAGCTCAACCATGGGAGAGAGAAAAAAAATACAAAAAATGACTAGAAGAAAACTACCAAAGAATTAACAATGGCTGTTTCTGGATGGCAGAATATTATTGTTTCATCTTATAGCAGAATGCCGTTCACTGTTATTTCAAGTTCAGACATATGAACAGCTGTCATTGCAATATTTTAATTCAAACAAGGAATAGTGGCCATGTTTAGCTCCATCCTTAGCATTCTCAATTTTGTTTACTTAAGAAGTGACTATTCTGTAAATCTAGAGAGTACTATGATATACCTGTCAGAAAAACCAAGTCAACAAGAATTAAGTCATGTCAGCCTACAGAAGACCTACATCACTTTCTGCATCTGACAATCTGGACCTCTGAGAAGATCAGCAAATTAGGCACTTCATATGTCCTTTCACTGATTTTGAAAGGAATCAACTCTGACTCCAAATGAAGTTTTAATACGTTTTACATTTTACTTTGTGTTAAAGGAAACATCAATTTTATCATATACTCCTTACAAAGTCATCTCAAATTCAAGTACAATAGAAGAAAAATCATGCATTTACAATGCAAATTAGGCTTTAATTCATCTACCCAGCCATTCTGAACAGATTGGTGGCCCAAAGCCCCTGCTCTATAGAAAGTCTAGAGCCATCACTGCCTTGCAAGGGCACAGACAATAAATGATAGAATCAGAGGCATCCACAGCTTTGATCAAAATGATTTGTATCAATGAAAGGAGCAAAGCAATGACTGGCACAAACTTCAGTCACTATTACATTTATAACACATACAAAGTTATATGTAGAAAGTCTGCCAAAAGCACTTCATTAAGCAAAAACTGTTACTACATAAAACCATCTGTAAACGGAAAATATTAATAGCAACAACCTCATAAGGATGTTGTAAAAAATTAAACAAATCATACACACAAAATGTTTAGAAGCTCATCTGACACATAGTGAGCACTCAAAAATTTATGGTATCATTATCATTACTCTATCTCATAACTTGCCTCTTTTCAACAACTTCAACCAATAAATCCTAAAGATGTTCTTACTTATGTTAAAGAATATTTACTGGATACTGTAATTAAAATTCAATAATCATTAGAATGTTTTGAGAGAAAATATTAATAACACTTCTGTACCTCTTCATATCTGTCAAAAACTGCTCCTTCTTGCAAAAAGGAAGGAACTTCCTTCTGCCAGTTAAATTCATAAGGTTTGGCCATGATTATATTCAAGACCTAAAAATGAAAAAGAATAGCTCATTAGTATATAAAATGAAGAAACAATTGAGGATGGTTAATCAGTTTGCATTTCTGTATTTGCAGAAGCTTTTCTTTAAATATGTGAAATAGGTTTTTTTTCTTCTTCCCTTTGTCTGACCCCCAACTTGCTTTCTTTTCTCTAAACCTGGAGCTATCATAATCAAGAAATACCAGAGGTGATCATTTGAGAAGTTTCCATTCCCTCTCCAAATCCTATAAAATAACCAGATGTGCGTGTGTGTGTGTGTGTGTGTGTGTGTGTGTGTATCTGAAGGCACCAGATAAAATAAGAAAACCATAGACCAAAATCCATGCATAAGAGAGGACTGCTGTAAATAGCTGAGGGCACCATGGGCTTGAAAGTGAACATATGGGCTGGAGGAGTCCACAGGGTATAAGTTGCAGAATCAAGTAGGCATAGCCAGAATTTTTTAGAGCTCTTGGTCGTCTCTAGACTTCTCTTAGGCTCTCTTTCCCCTACCCCTTTGTTACTCACCCCTTGGGCCATGCAGGGAACAAGAGAATGTCTGGTTTTGAGGCAGCCAGCTGGGAGGGGGTCCCTGGAGAAACTCCAACCAGCCTGCCCACTGTGGTGCTCGGGAAGCTCAAATTTGCAGGGAGGAGGACCTTGGCCCCTCCTCTTTCTGTGTGGAACCTGGGAGTCCAAGGGCTGGGCAGGAAGCCCTCTCTCTAGCAGGGACTCTGGCCTTGCAAGACTCCCCGTTGCCCCTTTTTTCTTCCTTTTACCCAATGAAACCCTGTCTTACTCACTATTTAAATTGTCTGCGAGTCAAAGAACCCCATTTTTAGCTGAACTAAGGAAAAGTCCTGCAACAGTTTTATTATAGCCAGTGAACAGGACATTTAAAGAGAGGCTAGGCACTGTTCAGAGCGGCTCCCTGCACCCAGGAAGAACTCAGTGTTCCTTTTACCCATGCTTGTTAGCAATCTGCACCATGGTAGGAATGCAATAACTACAAATCGAACATCTTGCATGACAGGCCAGCACGCAACCAAGAATCGCCAAATAGTTAAGCAATGCCAAGAACACAGAAGAACACCAAACACAGCAAGTAAAACTTACACCCAAGGAAAGAGAGTGAAAAACAGGATCTGACTTCAGCATACAGATTTTTTCAGAGGGAAGAGAGAACATATTCTGTTCTTAAAATATAATTAACTACAGATACTAGAAATTTAAAAAAAGATTGTTGAAATAAAACTTAATAGATAAGCCGAATTGTAAAGAAAACTCAGATGAAGTATTGAGCAAAGCAATTCTTTTTTTAAAAAAATTAATATATATATTTGATTGCACTTTAGGTTCTGGGCACATGTGCAGAACATGCAGGATTGTTGCTGCATGGGTACATACATGGCAATGTGGTCTGCTGCCTCTATCCCCCCGTCACCTATATCTGGCATTTCTCCCCCATGTTATCCCTCCCTAACCTCCCTACCCCTCGCTGTCCCTCCCCTACTCCCCCAACAGAGCCCAGTGTGTGATGCTCCCCTCCCTGTGTCCATGTGTTCTCACCGTTCAGCACCCGCCTATGAGTGAGAATGTGCGGTGTTTGATTTTCTGTTCTTGTGTCAGTTTGCTGAGAATGATGGTGGAATTCTTAAAAATGCAACACCAGGCCAGGTACAGTGGCTCATGTCTATAATCTCAGAACTTTGAGAGGCTCAGGTGGGTGGATGACCTGAGGTCAGGAGTTCAAGACCAGCCTGGCCAACATGGCGAAACCCCATCTCTACTAAAAAACACAAAAATTAGCTGGGCATAGTGGTGGGCACCTGTAATCCCAGCTACTTGGAAGGCTGAGGCAGGAGAATTGCTTGAACCCGGGAGGCGAAGGCTCCAGTGAGCTAAGATCAGGTCACTGTACTCCAGCCTGGGTGACAGAGCGAGACTACATTGCCAAAAAAAAAAAAAAAAAAAAAAAAAATAGCTACACTAAAATAAATTGAAAACATGAATGAAAAAGTTGGAGATATAGAAAATGGAAAGGAAAGGTTCAACAACCTTATAAGGAGACAATGGAGGGATGGAAATTAAGCAACAGTAGAAGAACATTTCTGAAACTTGAATATTTGAGTCCTCAAAGTGAAAAAGTCCAATTCCAAGTAGTATAAGTGGGGAAAAAAGATACACACCCCCAAATATACCTCATGGTGACACTGAAGACACAAAATATGCAGAGAAATTACAAAATCTCTTAAAGATGCCCGGAGAGAAAAGATCATCTAGAGGTAAACGACAATGAGACTGAGACTAATGTCAGGCACATAATCCACAACACTAAATGCAATAACACTATTTCAGAGTTCTGAGAAAAATAATTTTGGATTTAAAATTCTGTGTTCGATACTGTTTAAACTTTTAGGAGAAAATGCAGTTATTTAGAGATTTGTAAATAACTGAAAGATTTAGTGATCCACCCTGGAAAATTTAATGTATTGCATATTCTGTCAAAAGGAAAATAAATATAGAGAAATAAGAGAGATATGAAAAATATTGTTGAGAAAAAGAAAGTAAAAAGAAACAATAGGCTTACTTGTAAGTCTTACTGTATTATGCCAAAAAGATAGAAAAGAATAAATATATTTAAATATTAGCCAAGCCAAATCCCAGATTATATCAATACATGAGTTGTGGCCAACAAGGTGGTTGGAGGAAGGAGGTATGGGACAAAGGGAAGTAAAACCATTTTGGGAGGGGAACAGAGATACTTAAACCTCTAGACATTAGCAGAATAATAGAAGTTTAAATATGGGTGCTAACAATTTATGAGTTTTCCTATAGAAAATTAAAATTAGAAAATATAACTTCCAAATGATTAGCAGGGGCGAAACAGCAAAAGAAACTTGAGCCTCCTTTAAAAAGAAAGCAGATAAAGAATGGAGAGAAGACAGGAACACATTATAAATAGAAAACACAAAATAAAATGACACATCACTAAGCATAGTAAATATGAGTTGGTTAAATTAACTTATAAAAGAGGTTTTCAGATTAGGTAAAATTATGGTTGTTTACAGAAATATTTTGAAAACTAAGAAGTTTGAAAATGCAGGGATGAAAAAAGATACCATGGGCACATGCTAAGAAAAAAAAAAGAAAACATTTATAACAATAAAAGGACACAAAGCAGACTCCAAAGAAAAAAGCACAGTCAGAGTGATAATACATCAATTAACTGCCATTAATATTTAAGCATGTGACCACACAGCATCAAAATACATGTTGAAAAACTGATAAAGTACAGGAGAAATTAGCAAAGTCACAAACAGGAGACAATGATTCTCCAAAATTAACAGAATAAGAAGACAAAGAAATAAGAATCTTCTTGCAGATCTGAATACCATACTGAATAATCAGTAGAAACAATAACCCAAGGCAACATAAATAACAGAACTTAATGAGCTGTATTCTCACTCTTAATATATTTATTCTCTTTCTAAATATATTATTTTCTTTTTTCCCTCTTTTGCACCCTGGCTACCCACACACATGTGACAATCTCAAAACGTGATCACCATTAGGCCATAGAGGAAATTTCAGCATTTTTCAAAAGGCAGAAAATATGGTGGCCATGCTAGTTGACAACAAGGAAACTTACATATTAATGACAGAGAGTGCACAACATCTATATACATGAAAAATTAAACATTCACACACACATATACACACTCCTAAGTCATTCTTGAGTTAATCAGAAATTATAAACTTTTTAGAAAGAAAAGATGAGAGCATTACAAACCAAAACCTAGATATGTAATATGTAGCCAAAAAAAAAAACAAAAACAAAAACAAAAACCCAAAACAATGATCATCAAAAGAAAAAATTAATTATTTTCTGAATATCTGCATTGGCCATATATTTGGCAAGTATTGAGAGCAAGACTGAGAGACATAGAGAGAGAGATTTAGTTGGCGGAAGAGGAGAGGATGAGGAGGAGGAGGTGGCGGCTGCAGCACAAACTCAAAATTACAATGAAAAGTGGGATATAATTAAAGAAGAAGAATGTGAACATTCTAAGAGAATAGTATGTATAACTTTAATCAGACTATTTTAAAAGCTAAATAAAGTATATATCTTTCAAAGCTAAAATTCATTTGGCTTAAATTAGTATAGCCATTGTCAAAAACAGTATGGAGGTTCCTCAAAAAACTAAAAATAGGCTTTTGGCTTTTTGAGGAACTAAATGATCCAGCAATCTCACTTCCAGGCATTTATTGGAAAGATCTGAAATCAATGTGTCAAAGAGATATCTGCATTCCTATGTTCAATGTGGCACTATTCACAATATCCAAGTTATGGAATCAACCCAAGTATCTAACAACAAATGAATGCATAGAGAAAATGTGCTGTATGATATACAGTGAACTATTATTCAGCCTTAAAAAAGGGAAAAAATTCTGTCATTTGTGATAACATGGATGGAATTGGAGAACATTATGCTAAGTGAAATAAGCAAAATAAAGACGAATATACATGTTCTCACTTACATGTGAAATCTATAACAGTTGGACTCATAAAAACAGAGAGTAGAACAGTGGTTAACAAAGGCTGAGGAGTAGAAGGAATGAGGAGGTGATAATCAAAGGATACAAAGCCTTCTATCAGATAGAAGAATTAAGTTTGATTTTTCTTGAGATCTTTTGCATAGCTTGGTGAATACAGCATATATGTGCACAAATAACCACACAACTTCCACCTAAGAAACTTAGAAACAAGCTTTGGAGGTAGATGACATGCATTCATGTCTTCTATGTTATAAGACAGATCTGCGGAGAAAAATAGATTCACAGACCCTCCTCCCCCTTAATAACCAACTACAGGGAGCTAAGTGTTAGCTTGAAAAAACAGATTTAAAAACATCATAGTGGCTATTAAATACAGTAAGAAGTTCTTCTTTGAAAGTTTAGCTTGTTTAAGTTTCCTTGTCTTTGTTCCCTGCTTTCAAAGCCAGAC